TTTCGACTTCTTGTTGAAAACCGCAAGTCCAATTGCTTTGATATTACATATATAGGTACTACATGTGGACCTCTCTCAGATTTGTTCATTTTGTAATGATATCTTTAATTCTCTAATTTCGAAGAATATTTTTGTAATTTTTGGTAAAAAGTGATATTTTCGACTTCTTGTTGAAAACCGCAAGTCCAATTGCTTTGATATTACATATATAGGTACTACATGTGGACCTCTCTCAGATTTGTTCATTTCATAATGATATCTTTAATTCTTTAATTTTGATGAATATTTTTGTAATTTTTGGTAAAAAGTGATATTTTCGACTTCTTGTTGAAAACCGCAAGTCCAATTGCTTTGATATATTATACATATAGGTACTACATGTGGACCTCTCTCAGATTTGTTCATTTTCTAATGATATCTTCTGTTCTTTAATTGCCATGTGCATTGCTAACAGCGGAGCTATCTCAGCCGACAGGCTGCTTGTTTTTTCATTTTCTGTTATTTTTGTCCATGATTGGATGGGAAAAAAAACGAATACAGATACTCCAAGATTTTTTTGACTTCATTAAAAAATAAAATCGTTTTTGTAGGATGGAAACTTTTTGAGGTCAAAACCCTCCCACCCCCAAACTAAAGCAAATAAGTTTTTTATCCGACATCGATCTTTTGACGTCGTCCCTTACAAAACTTTGAGATATAAAGAAATAACGCAAAAAAACAATTCAGACTTGAAAACATGGCTAGTAACCCAAATGTTTCATTTTCTGTTTCTAGATGGCATTAACCTAATGTGATTACTATATGGCGAAAATGCCATGTCTTCTTATCTTGCTCAGCAAGACATCATCACATGTGTGATAAACCCCCATCTTATTTTCTGTCTCAGATTCGGCTCCTTCCAGTCCGACATCACCTATGCCAGTGTTTCGTATGAACCTAACAGGTTTATATGACGCCTTTTGTAAACACATGAAGAGTGATCAGATGACATTGTTACTGTATTTATTATTACATAGAAACAGTAATATCAGAGCATATATATTATCCAGGACAAATATTGAACAACTGGTAAGTCACTTAGGTGGTCTTTTGAATAATTGTTGAGTTAGGTGGTCTTGTGTATACAGATAGTCTTTTGAATGACTTTATCGATTTAGTTGTTTTTTTTTTACTCCCGTGTGCGAAGCACAAATGGGAGTCTTTGCAGTTACCCTGTCTGTCTGTATGTCTGTCTGTATGTATGTATGTATGTATGTATGTCACTTTTTTGTTCCACCGTTATCTCAAGAACCACTAATCAAATTTTGGTGAAACTTGGTACATAGATGCTCTGGGATAATGCGCAGAGTTGATTAGGTTTTGGTAATAATCTATGAATATTAATTACCTAATTTGCATGATAATTAGCTGATTTTTAGCTGTTCCAAGACTGTTCCACTGATATCTGAAGAAGCACTCATTGGATTTTGATGAAATTTGTCACATGGATGCTCTGAACTAG